AGTTTACAAAAGTTTTTATTAAATGATTTATCACGGTTATAAGTGGGTTAAAGGGATTTACAAGTGTTTATAAATGTTATAAAATGATTTACAATGGTTTTAAAAGGTTTACTCAAGTTTTGAAAGGTTTTGGATGACTTTTAAAAGATTTACAAGAGTTTTTAATGGATTTTTTAAGGGATTTATAAATATTTACAAGGTTTTTTTAAGAAATTGCGGAAAAATTTTAGCTGAAAATTTTTGGCGGGAAAATTTTTGTCGGAAATTTTTTGGCGGGAAAATTTTTTTGGCGGGAAATTTTTTTGGCGGGAAAATTTTTGCCGAAAATTTTTGGCGGGAAAATTTGGCGGGAAATTTTTCGGAAGGAATATTCTTTTTGTTGGAAAGAATATTCCTTTTTTCATCATGTGTTATAATAAAGGAGGGTAATTTAGTCATTTTGTACATTGAAGAGGGTATTTTTGAAAATGAACACCTAGAGAGGGTATTTGTAAAAAAGGGTATCATAATAAAGGTTAGTTGTGCAAATCTCCCTTTTAAATATATCATCACTGTTATAAGCAAAACTCATTTAGTCCATCAAAAAACAAAAAAAATTACTTATGCTGAACCTAGATAGAATTATATCATGGGTCCGTTATTGGCGTGAACACAAGAATACCGTTCAATAACGAAAACCCTGCAACTGCAACTTTTCTAGATCAAGTTCACAAAATAAGGATTTCCATCAATATCAGTGACATAGTATGCAATCGCCCTAGCTCGAAAGTGTTTAGCTCCTTCCAATATGTTCATGAATTAAACCGATTAGAAAATGTTTTAAACTTTTAATAATCGCATCAAGCATAGGTATTAAGGAGTAGATACTTCCTTGCATCCTTCAACTTTAGAGCGGACCATATTTGCGCTTCTCCTTTAGAAGGAGGTTGTGGTTGGATCGATTGTGGACCATAATTACGTTACGTAACGAAAAATTAGGTATCTTTTCGGGTTATTTTTCCCTTTTCAGCTTTTCTATGACAATCGGACCAAACCAAAGACTTATTGACGGCAGATCAGCAAAACCTCCGTACTATGTGAGATGGGTGCGGAACTAAGGACCGAAGTTACCATTCATCTCCGTAGTAAAACATTGTAGTGTCCATCTGTAAATAAATTCTTTACTATATTTACAGTAACCATTTATTTAGTATTTTACCAACGTTGAAGAAATTTATTAAGGAACAACACTTGATAATTCGATAACAAAGGAACAAACATGAAACAACGACACACGTCTTTCTTTGTTTCAAACAAACAAACATTAACCTCCCAGACGCTTACTTAGAACGATCTACAAACAGATCGATGATACATAGTGAACATATCAGGGAGCAATGTTAATTACCACGCTTACATCTGTTGTACATGGTACACGGCTTGTTATTATATGTCTTACGGGCTACGAGACAAAGGTCATACTTAGGAGAGTTACATGTCTGCCGACGCGGAAAGGTCTTCGGCGTTAAGTATTGTTTTCCAGCTGCAAGAGAATCCCAAAATTCATCAGCTCCCCCATCTTCATGAACGATTGTGAGATTTCCCCAACCATTTGTCATCTTCCCTGAGGTTGCAACGGCAAGGAGCAAGAGGAGGAGGACGAAGACTATTGACTTCATTGTCTTCAATTATTTGTCCCTTTTTTTTTTTTTTGTAGTGGAGGAGTGATTTGTTTTTTGTTGGATGGATAGGAAGATAGATATAGTGGTAGATTGATTATTTTGGTTGGTCCATATTTAATATGAACATAACATAATATAAAAACACTTAAAAACATAACATTTTAAAAGGTTTATTTGACTAAATTTACAATTTTTAACAGGTTTGGTTTTGATTTATATTTTACTTATGATATAAATTTGGGTAACAAAGTTGTGTGCTGTCGAATTTTGATTTTAGATTTACTTATGTGTTACATTTGATAAAAGTACAATATTACATTATATATTTGATTATTTTTTAAAAAAATTTGTTCATGGATTGTTCCTTTATGGTGTTAAAATGAGAAGATATATATACTTTTTTTTGTCATCTAGAATTTTATTATTGAAACCATAAGAAACTTGAAAGTTACAAATATAAGCCAACATAAAAAAAAAATATCCCTGGAGTCTAAACCGGCGGAAAACATGATATCCCCGGAATCTAAAACTCTATGAAAAAGAAGCTAACAACTGAAACTACAAGACTAAAGCTCAATTGGTAATGATCTCTGGCAAAAGTTTAGAGGTAAAGATCTCTGGCAAAAGTTTAGAGGTAAAGATCTCTGGCAAAAGTTTAGAGGTCGCCGGTTCGAGTAGCGATTAAAACGAAACCATATAATATGCTTTGGTTTCGGGTCTGAGGGGATGTATAGGTTTCGGCCAAAAACCTCTTTGATTATCCTTAAAAAAAAAAAGGCTAAAAAATGAGAAAATATATATACTATATTGTTTTTTTTTTTTACTTAATGACATAAATGTAAAACAAACATCCATGTAATTACATGAAAATGTCGGCCAAATCTTTTTTTTTTCTTTTCTGTGTGTTCACGGTTTGTTTTTAAACTTGTTTCTCTAAGATTCTTATTACTACCACGGACTCATTTCTTTTTAACTATATTTTGTTGTTGAGTGCAATGACTTTTCCACAGAATATTTGATTTATCACATTACTGACATATACACCTTTGTCCAATTGTGAGATTGCAACAGTTATGGTAGGTTCGGTGCCGTATTCATCAAACTGGAATGATAGATTCATTTGTTTTTAGTTTAATATTGGGTAAATAACAAGGCCTGTTAAATTGTTTGCCATAGTACAACTTCCTGCTGAAATATATTGGCCTAATGTATTAATAAAACCAGAACCTAATACTGAAGGCCCATTATAAATGATCTCGTGAAACTTTTGCTGAACTCTATTAAAAATAGTTTAGAAAAGAACTAGGTCAGCAGCTTAGTAGAAATGTTCTGTGCTACACTACACTTACCTATGCATTCTAGTTGATGTCAGGAAATAGCTAGATCGTCTATTACTGACTATCGAATAATTAATATATATATTTATAAATCTATTATTAGTTTATTGATTTGTAAATCTGAAATCAAAACCCATGAATTTTAAAATAACATGTTTTATCATTAGATTTAAATTTTTATATTTTACACTATCAAATCCTTTTAAAATATATTGCGGATTTTAAAATCCAAAAACAAATCACTATACGAAAAACATAGGATTTTAACTAGTATTTAAAAATCATACCACCAATAACACATGATTTTGATAGTTATTTGAAAATCAACTAGTGATGGACCCGCACGTACGTGCGGAGTTATTTTTACAAAATTACGATTTGTTAAGTAGATGTTATTTTGGTAAAATTTTGTTATATGAGTTTATTTGATAAACTATATATAGACACACATTTGTAAAATATAGATATTGTATTATATAATACAATTTTAAAATTATTTAAATGAAAATGATAAATGATATTACTTGTTTATTTTTTAAACTAATCAAAATATTTCACTGTTTGCTTAGAGATGTTAAATCGGATTTGGGTTTGGCTTTAGTTTGAAATGTTTTATGTGTAGTGTAGAATGGAAAACCCGTCCTGTCCCTTTCCGTCTTGTCCTGAACCGTCCTGTCCCACCCGCCCCGTCCCGTCTTCTATCTGTCATAAAATTTCTGTCCCGTAATCATTATAAGAAACTTGGTAAAATATTTAGACGGGATATCCGTATTCCTCGTTTAAATATTTATTTTTATCAAACTAATAAAAATCTAATTATCAATCTAAGTCACATGCTCCCACCATTTTCATTCACAAGGCATTGTCTGTAATCCTAGCATACACAATCCTTGTTCGATTTTTAATTTTATTGATCTTTCCGTTTCATCTTTATTTCTCATTACTTTCTTCAATTCAAAGATTCATGTTTTAGCCTTTTTGTTTTCTAAAGATTTAGGTATTTCTATTTTTCTAATACATGGATTTATTGTAGTTTTGTTATCCGAAGTATACGTTATCTTCTTGTACCCATCATATCATGTCTAAATATTTGAAATAAATAGGAAAGTGGAAATTAAATTTAGCAATTTAAATTACATGTCCCCGTATCATACTCGTAGTTTTATATTTGAAAGTTGAAAGTGAATTTAACTTTATAACCATGTCTCATAACAATTATATCTGATCATGTTTTTTTTTTATGAGAAATAATTCAGATAGTGTTTGTTTTCGAAATATAAGTTCCCGTCTTGTATCCATTCCTATAAGTTTATATATTTTTTAATAAATAACACCATTTACATGTAACTAATATTATTT